AAAAAAAAAAACATATACTTACACCTGAATGTAAATTATTTTAGCACAAGCAAATTAAATAAATAGGAATGTATTTTCATGCGATTGGCTATATGTACGACGTACATATGTACGTTCATATACATATAAGTGTGTACGTAAAAGTATTATCTGAAAAGTATTTTTTTGCAAATTTAAGGTCAGTCAGATCAACTACATTAGCGCAACAAAAGTTTTAAAGCCTAAATGTGACTTTTGATCGCACTGTTTGTCTGAATGTACATTCAATGTACTTTACGTACCTGTGGACATTTGACAAAATAAGTTACATACATATCGCTAGCTTAGAGTGAAAAATTGCCAAGTCCCAATTTAAAAATTGTATAGGAATGGAAAAAAACTTCTTATAGCCATTTTCTTCAAGTATTTCGCAAAACGTTGAATACAACTATTTGCCTGTTTAAAGCAAAGCAAAACTTCATACGAATCAGAGAGATTCGATCGAATTTTCGGAGCTTTACTTGAACTTGGATTGGTGAATTCTCCTTTCATTGAATGTAAACGAGAAAACATAAAACAAGGACCTTTACCCCTTTCGAAAGGATGCACTTTTAAGCCTTTCTAGCCTCCTTCATCAAAATATGAGTTTTCATAAAAAGTGGACTTAGCAACTTTTCACTCTAAGCTAGCGATATCTATAGTTTGGAAATTTTTTCTATAAAGTTGCAAATGGTTGGGTTCTCATAAAATTTTTTATACTAGCCAATATCCGCCGTACTTTGCTGCGCCTTCAAAATATTTTTGCGTTGTGACTCCCTCTCACAACAACGAAAACTCTTAGTTCCCAATAAACATTGTGGCGAACGTTCGAAAATGACCTTTGAAATCCAATATGTATATGAAACGAGAACGAACTCATAACCAACCTTAGTTTTACATCGTTCATAGTATATTGGAAATACACTCATTCTCGAAGGGAAATATAAAATAATCACTCTCTCTCATTAAAATTTCAATTGGATGGCTGAGTTTCGAATTCATAACGAAGGGAAAATACATTGTAAAACGAAGGTTTCGCTTGGCTGGGGGATGGCTTAATTCTTGATTCGAATATGTACTAACCTATTCCACGTTCGGTAAGAGGCATTAAGGGCAACATCGCAAAAAAAATTTAGAAAAAAGGTTTTTTCTTAACAGCGGTGGCCCCTCGGCAGGCAATGGCAAACCTCCGAGTGTATTTCTGCCATGAAAAAAATAGCTTCTCATTAAAATACAATCGCCGTTCGGAGTCGGCGTAAAACTGAAGGTCCCTTCGCTTTGTGTGACAACATCAAGGCGCACGCGCCACAAATCGGAGGATAAACTCGGCCAAACACTAGCATATGTGTAAGCGCCAATCTATTATTATTATTATTAAATTTAGAATAAACGCCGTCAAATTAATAACCAACATCTGTCATAAGTCATTCATCCGTTCAAAAGTGTAAATTTTGTTGGCCAGTGTAATTATTAAGAATAAATAAATAAACATAAGTTGCAAAGAACATCATTTTGAATTTTGGTGTCAAATCTTTGACTATAGCTGTATATATGTATGTATGATGTACATATACCGAGTAACGGTTAATCCATAGCAGCCCACATTATTTGGAAAAAAACTCGTTATTTTTATTATGCATATACATGTATCTATACACAGGCTTCTTTATTTTAAATATTCTGAATGTATTTACATATACATACATATAGACTGAGAAATTCAGTTTCAAAAATTTTCCATTATTGCTTTACCAATCGAGGACACATAAACACCTTTTTTTTT